CTTAATTTCTCAATTATTTCTCTCAGATTAGCCAGACAGCCTTTACCAAGCATCTCCTTAGTCAGCGCTCTGCTGAACACGCTGTTTTAGGTTTACACTCCCCGTCCTCTCTAAGGTAGACCCCCCATAACCATGACAACCAGTCAGAGTTCATAAAGATAGCCCAGGAGCACGGAATAATACATTGGATGAAGGCCATAGCTTGACCCATGGGAATTATATGGGATCTTTAATTTTCTCTTTTCTGGTCTTTCGCTCCAGCTGTTGACTCCCCCACATGTTCCTCTGTATTTCAATGTGTATTTTGTCCCATCTCTTCACTCATATCTCCTGCATACTATTTAATTTCTTGTTTGATTACGCTTTTGTTTAAATAAACATTAAAAAATATTGTGTTTACAGAAGTAATCATTAAAATGCTTCATATTTCACCATACTGTATATGTGTAAATACAAAGCTATTTATTTTTTATAACATTTTATAAACAGTGACAGGTCCGGCCATTTGCAATGTCTCCATGACGACACAGAGGCACAAGTATTTCAATCTCTCAATTCTCCAACTTTTGCATGCTAAGCTGTGCACTTATCTGACCCATTTCATAGAGATTTCATAGATAGAGTTCTGCTGATGACCTTGTTTGTTTCAGGTGTGTTGAGTCAGTGACACGTCTAAACGCTGCAGGCGACCTGTATGACAGCTCGGGTCTAAACGGTTCAAGTTGAACAGGTGCTCCATTAATTGTCCTCTTGTCTTTTACTTGTAGGGCCTTCACAGAGTCCACTCCCTCTGTGCTAAAGAAGACCTCTGAGTCCAAGTAAGAGGTGGTTTCCCTGCAGAACATTACGTGGCTCCAGGGAATCACTTCCCACCCTCAGAGCTCCCCTAAAGGTGAGCGGGCTCCACAGGCTCGACCCGGACCAAGAAGAGATGAAGGCGCAGCGATCCTGGTTCTGTCCGCTTCCCAGAGCGTACCGTTTCTCCAACACGCAAACCTCCTGATCACAAACCAGGTTTCTGATATTGTATAACAGAGGTTGATGCTAATCCATCATCTTTCTGAACTCAGTGCCTGATTTATTTTATAATATTGGGGGGAAAAGCATAAAATCCTTTGGCGGTTATTTGTAAGATTATATATTTTGTCTACAAAGCCCCAGATGTCTGCGCTCCCAGGCTCAATTTCTTGTTAAGAAGCTGTTGTTCTCCCTACCTCTCTTCTCCTGGAGGCTCGGGGAAGTTTGAACTGAACTTCCTTTAAAATAAAGGTCCAACCAGGACCAAGAAAAAACATTTCTTAATGTTTAATACTTGCTAAATTAACATGCTTTTCAACTTAAAGTGATTGTAGCTGTAATTTATTGATACTGATGAGCTGCTGTTCAGGACCTAGCTTACTGCACATCATTTCATTTATTCTAATCTCTACGTCTGAGTCACTCAGACTCCAAACGATTATTTTAGATGTTCTATTTTTCAAAATTATACATAACAGGAATGGAGGTTGAAACGTTTTTATTTATATGAACTTTAATATTTTAAATGCATGCTTGGCCATGCTCTAAATCTGAGACACCCCCAGCTTCATCGCACCTTACTGTCCATGACTTTCACACATTGGAATGATTACTCCTGTTATAGAAACTTCACTGAGAATTTAAGCACTTTTTTGTTTTGTTTATAAATGAAGTTGTTTACATCCTGTGAAGCTTTAACAGGCCGGCAGTACAGATGTGTTGTGTTTGTACAGTGTAGTTAAACACTGATCGTTCAGCTACTGTGTTAGCTATCTGGGTTGGGCGGGGGGGTTACAGGACTGAAACCAAAGGGCACAGAGTTTAACTCAAATACTGTATGTTTTGCAACAGTTCCTATGTTTGTTTGTTTTTTATTAATTAATATGCAGTGAATAAATTGATTATAAACTATTGCTGCTTCACAGAGCGTCTTTGTTTTTAAGATGGAAAGTTTTAAAGGAAAAGTCCGGCCATATTCAGAATTCAAACTTCTTAAAGTACTTTAAATATAAAATTATTGGGGACTAGTGGACTAGTTCTCTGGCTCTATGTTTGCAATTAACATTTAGCTCCATTCATCTTCCCTTTAACTCTGACCTGCTTCCTTGTCTTTGCTGAAGAAACCCATCCCCACAGCATAATGCTCCCACCACCCTGTGGACGCTCTGTTTAGGATTATGTCCAGTGTTGCTTTTCTCTCACATATTTTTTCCATTTTTCCAAACGGTTAGAATTTGAATGTGACGCCATCTTCTTCCTGCTTCTTCTACAAACAAACCTCTTCCCTACTTAATCTGTTCCTTGTCAGAACTAACTGTAGCTGCACAGATTGGACGGTGTTGAAGAAAACCTTTTAAAGGTTTCTTTTTCTCCTAAACTGAGAGGACAAACAAAGTGTGAGGTTGTCATCACAGAGAAAAAAGTAACTCTAAAGCATGTGAACAATCAAACTCTGGAGCTCAGCAGTTAGAAAACAAGCCAAAACTTGCCTGGTGTTTGTGAGAGCTGAGTCAGACTGTGTCATCTGCTCTGTTAACGCTTTACAGATTGTGGATCTGTCAGTGCAGCTTGAGACAGATGGACAGAATAAATATCAGATCTGTGAAATACTCCAACGGAGGCTGCTGCTGAAGTCAGGCAGTTTTCCAGAAAAAAACGCTGTGATTCACTCACTTTTGTCCGGACCTTGTAAAATGAATTAGATTGATTTTATGCATTTAAAGTGAATCAGAAAGATTCACTTTAAATTATGAAAATGAAGAAAACTAAGGACAGAGTCAGACGAGGCTTCTGAGAGATTTAAATCATTAAAGAGGAAATGGGACAGGAAACTCTACCATGTCTTTACCGCAACTGAAGCTGTGTGCATGTTGGGCAATGCTCTGCTTTCTAGATGCTTGTGATGGAAGTTTTTTTTTCGAAGTTAAAGTAGCAGCTTATCTTACATAAAATCATCTGAACCTGTAAAATGTTTGATTACAGCATTCTCCACAACTATTGGCTTGAAATACTTTTCTTTTTATAATAATAAAAAAAAGGAATAATAATAAATATGATAAAGAGGTCCATTTTCTCTAGTTATTACTCTGCATCATGAGGCTCCCTAGCAACTAAATTAAATTATCTCTGCTGGAGCCAGTTTAGAAAATAAACAAGCTTGCTACCCCCTGTGGGACTTTAACAGATGTGGATGGGATGCGGAACCAAACTTTAATACTATTAGGTATGGATAGGGATCTGTGTTGATGTGGCTCATATCATCTAACACGGTTTCAGAGACTTAATGAGGATCTCAACGAATTAACAACATTTTTAGGGGCTCTATGAACATGATTCACATAGTGTTTGAAAGTATACACTATCAACAGAGAGAATGTGCACCGTGGAGGACAGGGTCTGACAGCACAATCTGTTTCGGCAGCTTGTTAACATCTTCTAGGCCTTAGTGACCTAATATCGTCAGACTTTCTAACACCAATTTATTGGTATTAAAGATATTTTATAGAAAAGCAATGAAATACTCAACAAGTGTTCCCAAGCTGCAAAACAAATCAGGAGAGACTTAGAGCATCAGGAAGCAAATTACAGACAGGATATATGAACTGTTTTCAAAGCGCATTAATCTTAATAAATTCACTACTAAGCTCCAGTTAAGCTTCAATATTCTGTCTTTTTCTTGGAGTTCCCCTTCAAACTGCAGCTTGATTCAACTTTAATACATTTCTTCAGATCAAAGGTATCACATCTTTCTGCTGAAGTCTGTGGGACGGCACCATGCAGCGGGAGAAAAGTCTTCCTGGTTCTTAGAGATCTCTTCCACAGCAGAGTCGGTTTCATTTGCAAATAGAGCCTGCTGCTTCCACCTCATGGCATCGAGCTACATCAGTAGAAACGTGCGTAATGAATGCATCCACCAGATGCTGTCTGAAAATAAAAGCGCAAGCATCAACACATTTTGCAAGCGTGCGCTAAAAGCTGTTGTCTAATATGTCTTCCTGATGGCTCTAGTTGGACCCAAGTCCTCACAGATGAATAATTCATCAAATTGAGATCAGGAGTTTGAATAATCCTCTCTGCATCAAACAGTTACTCAGTCTGCCGCCCATCTCTCTCTCCCCTTCACATTGGACCTTTATGTTTATTAATAGGCCAGAGAACAGTCCCACCAGACTTATCAGGTTTCAGCGCAGGCTCATCTCTCATGCAGTAGCTCATTTCTCACTGTGGCAAAGACGAGAGATTTAATCTTTTTAAAGTGGCAGAATGACTTAGAGCAGCGGCTGTGTTTCACACTGTGACCGTGGGATTCTCACGTCGTGTATACTACAGTTATAAGCTAACTAAAGGCTTTAAGAATATTGGATTCAAGTCTGATCAAATAAAAGCTGGTAAAATCTTCCTATTTTAGGAACACCACTGTACCGACAGAATGCTAAATAATGTAGGAAGTTATAAAACTTCAAAGTATTGCCTAAGGTTAATGCTGTCTGGACTTTTTACATTCTAACCACTTAACACAATATTTTTAATAAAATGTTCAAATTGGGTCGATTTCTGCAGGCCAGGTTTTCCTGGTTGAAAAAAATAAATAGAATGTCCTAGATATTTTATGGTAGAGGCTTTTTCTATGTATTATTTTTGTCTTCACAATGTCTTCAGCAATTTAAGGGGTATAGCTCACTATTTATTTATTATACAAAATTTAACAAACACTGAAGCCCAAGCTTGCATTTTGCTGATTGAATATTTGTGCTCTTGTTTATTATTGATTTAAATGAAAAGCATCAACATAGTTGTCAAAACATGAATACCTTTTTTGTACTTTAAACTTGTAAGCTTTTTTTTTTTTTTTTTAAAAAAGGCTTCCTATCTATATATCAATTATACATCTGCATCTTTTTAAATGTGCATCTGCATCACCTGCTAAGCTAGCAAACCAAATTCAGGCCATTATTGGATTGTGGTCGAGGGCAACCCAGAAACATTTTGAGGGCTGCAAGTGGCTCAGAATTGTACAGCTCTTGCGCAAAGGTCTGAGACCCAGATTAAAGTTTCATAAGCAAGAGAAACAAAATAGATCTTTATCCACACAAAAAAAAATTTTTTTATAAGGCCATAAGTATCATGTATAAAGATCACATTGCAGCAACTGACAGATATTTATTTTAATCTAGTTCTCCTGCAACCCCCTATTGTTGCCACCCTGGACAACTGCCTGTAGGGTCCATATCACAACCTGTTAGAGGCAGTTAGGAATACGTTTGATCATTTTAAAGGTACACTGTGTACTTTTATTCACTAGGGGCACTAGAACCATATCTCCCAGGTTTTGCATCCCTGAAAAAAGCAACTATAATTGTGGGGTTCACTTTCTGTAAACCATAGCCTGGTCAACATTGGGTAAAATTGCTGTTTTAGGGATAGGTCTTAGGTTTAGGACTAAGGTGTGAATTGAGTTTAGGTAGGGTTTAGGGCTAGGTATGAACCTGTAATTGTTAGGCTGAGGGTAGGGCTCACGGTTAGGCTGTAGAAAGGGGTTGGAAATGGATAGAAGTCAATAGGCAGTTTTCCTCCTGCGGTCACGTCCAGGGAGGATGGATACAGTTCTGTAAATCTTACATTGCTGAAAAATCTCAGCAGATGTAATCAAAGATACATCAAGCTGCTTGGAGATGGTCTTATAGCCTTTATATTTTATATACCTTATTGTCAATAGTTTTCTCTCTTATCTCCTGAAACAAGTCTTTCCTTTGCTTTCTCTGGTCCATGTTGAGTGTGATAAACACCATGTCACCAAACAGCACAGTGACTTCCTGCAGCCCTATAATTAGACCCACTGACTGATTACAAGATTATAGACACCTGTTATGCTAATTAGTGGACACACCATGGTTTATTGTGTCCCTTTGGTCATATTTTAGAGAAGTACCATCATATTTGTCCAGGGCTGTTGCATGGGTTTTTAAAAATAATTCCATTAAAGCATGGTTGCAAAGCAATGTCTGACTTTCATGTGTTCATTTTCATAGGTTATTTTTAGTCATTACTTTTGTCTGATTCAATTTTTATTTCCGCGACCATTGAGGGTTTTTAAGTTAATAAATAACAGGTGACCATGTATGTATGTATATTTTTTTACCTGAGCTGAAGATTTTGGCATCGCTGAGAGAACAGATGGGATCCTAATTACTGGCCAGACTGAAATGGTGTGAAACTGACATGAAGCTGGTTGGGAACACTAAGTATGAGTTGTTTTAAGAAAAATCAACACTCTCCTCAAGTTGTTCTGTAAACCTTTTCACCTTTATTTTCTACATTTGGATCAGCTCAATGTGGAAGCCTGGACATGTCAGTTCCTTTAACCCTGCCCTCACCCGGCCCCCAGCATGGGAACAAATGATACTCCCCGGTCTCACCATCAAAAGCATCTTCACCGTCACAGTTAGGTGCTCAGATAGGAAAGTCTGCATCATGTGTAAACCTTCCCCCACTAAAGGAAGCTGAAACGTTTTGAACTTTTACAAAATGACTCAAGCTCTGACTTACAGCAGCAGGAGTGACAAAAAAATTAAAAACAATAAAACACAAAATTGATTTGAAATGATAATGACACGTTTCTGTTGTTCAAAATATGAACTCAGAAGTTCTGTAGGTAAACTTGCAACAAATGAAGTGATTATGAGTTAAGATATATAGTCTGCTCTCTCCAGCCTCCCATACTTATTCTCTTAGTTTATTTATCCTAAAACACCAAATAAATGCTGCTTATGTGTCCCAACAGCAGTTGTACTGCTGCGTGTAGGCTGATATGAAAGGGATATGCTGAGCATTAATCTGCAGTATGGGCTTGTTGCTCTCCAAAATACAATTAAAAACAAATATTAAAATCAAGTTTTACCTAGAATGCATGGAGGTGAAAAACTGGGATACGTTCTGAACATGCTCACAAGCATCCACAAAACTCCACTGCAGAAAAGAGGCCCTTGGAGTGTATTTCCTTAAAGAGGTCGATATGGGATTACATTTGCATCTCAGCATATTAGATATTTAACGAGGAAGTAAATTCATTTCAGTAACTTAAAACACATTCTAAACATTTAGCAATTAAGACCTGTTATTTTGATTCTTTTGGAACAGGTAAAGAAACTAAAATGCAGTTCCCAGAAAGTTAGAAAGTTGCATTAGACTAACGAAGCTTGGTAGTGAAGGCTGCTGACTGGTTTGGTTTCCAGCAGAGAATCAATGACAGCTTCCATGTGGAGGAAGTCACAAAATATCAAAACGGAAAAACAAGCTGGGTGATTAGGGTTCTCTATCCAAGCATATGGGAAGCTTACTGGAAGGAAAAAAAAAATGCATTTGAAATAAAGTGCTATCAGCAGCCTTGAGCGTTATGAAAGAAAACCTATTTGAGACTGCAGGAGAATCAAGAGTACACTCAATTAACAGTCACCACCTACTGATGTATCTGGAAGTTAAGCTGCATTTTTTATTCATGTTAAGATACCCCAGAAGTGTCTTACCAGGGATTAAAGAGAGGAATGACTGATGTTCAGCGATCCAGTCCTCATTTGAAACAAATGATTTTCATTTCATTTGCAAATCATCGTCCCTAAGTTTGCAGGATGAGAGGAGAAGCACAAGCAAAACAAAAACAGTAGTTTACCTCCAGGCCTTGTGGCACTGATGCAATCTTTTGTGTTCAAAGATCTGGCTGCTGAGTGTATATAGAAACGCTTTTCAACAACCTGCAATTCGTATGGGAAAAAAATCAGATTTTTTCTGAGAAACTGCTTTTTTTTTTTAGCTTCAAGCACTAAATTAATAATTGATTTAATTAAGAATTTTAGCTTTTTGATGGTTCATATTTTTGTCTGACATTTTTATTTACTGAGATGCTCATGTGTGGACGGCCTTCTGCAGAGAGAGTGTAGCTCTGTAGTGTTTTATGGGACAGCTTTTCATAGTTAAACACTACAGTAGGCAGTATCAGTTTAATATCCAAGAAGCCTGTTGATGTGCTTGAGAGTGCATTTGCTGTATGATGAAAAGGAGAAACTAAAGGTTACTGAAACAGTAGAAACAGACAAGGCATGTAAAAACTGGACATAGAAATCTGAAGATATCACAAACATATTTCTCTATCTCTACATTTCTGCTGTTGGCAGACGTCGGTTTGAGCTTCCTCTTTTTGTCTATATTACGTGCCCTCCTTTAGATTTCAGTCTGTAAGACGAGATACCGAGAAGTAACACCAGAGGGGGACATACGCTGTTACAAGACTGCAAAGGAGGGGCTCTGACACGTCCACACACGCAGGCACGCACCAGACGTGATCTCTCACACACGCAGTCAGACATGCATCCTTCTTCATAAGAGTCCATGATCAATACAAGTTATAAAATTAAATAAAAAAAAAAAAAAAGGAAAACAACAAAAACAAATATTCAGGCCCCTTCAAAAAGCATACATTCATCTCGGGTCAAACACACAGATAAGTGCACGCACACAGATCGGAGGCAGTCAGTAAACGTTAAGTGATGAGCTGAGGGGAAGCTGTGTGCAGAACCTCGACTCCACTCGCCGGAGACAGCAACATCTAGAATCTCTTCTTAAAAAAAAAAAAAAAGCAAATGTAAAACGACAGATATGATCTCTTAGAGAGTCTCTACAGTCCTCTCTATTCGCTCTGAGGAAGCTTGAAGAGTCTCCTTCCTCTGATCTCTGGCAGAGGTAGTACCGTCCCATCCCTCCTCCTGAATCCCCCACCAGAGAAGTCTCGGTCCTTGTGCCCACATTGAATAAAACATGCCCGCTCTTCTGACTGCTTGCTCTGGGCCGCTCTGTGTGTTTGGGGGCGTGTACGTTTGGGGGGGTGCGCTGTATGGTCAGAAGACCTCGGGTAGTGTGACGTTGCGCAGCAGCCACTGTTGGGAACGGGAGTGTGTGCAGTCTCTGACGCTGGGCACCTGGCTGTCCTCCTCGCTGGCCTTGTCCAGGCACTGGTTACTGTTGACGTGGACCAGAGTCAGCTTCTGCACACACAGAGAGGCGAGGGCACATGTGAGGACTGCTAACACCAGCTATATGATCAATGTTTACATCCTCAACATTAGCAGCATAGATCTAGATACCAAGGCTGCACAGCATCACAACTCCAGGTTTTCTCTCCAACTCACCACAGGATCATATTCCCACAGCTGGTTGCCTTTAAGGTGATGGCACTTGAGCATCATGACGGGCCCGTTCAGCTTGGAAACATCTAAACACAAATCATCAGTCCGGATCTCTTTGTTGGCTGTGTAGGAGAAGACCTGTAGGTCACACACACAAAAACAGGAAGGAGATTATCAAAGCTGATATCCAGGTTCAGAACCATCTGTCTAATAAGCTGTATTTAAGCCTTAAAGGGGAACGCCGTTTTCTTTACATTGGGCCCTTGATTTTAGGTTATTACATCATGTTCTACTCCCCCATATGAGTTTTGTGTCATTTGGAGCCGTTCTGAAGAGGTTATATCCAGGTAACGTTTTCCTATGGGCAACGAGTTGAAGGCACAAACTAAACTAAACTAAACGAAACGGCGTGTGTATGACCTCATCCAAGTGCGCCGGCTACCTTTCATTCATCCTGTCCGCTGAACTGCTGCTAGTTTTACTCCCATGCCTGGAAGATGTCTAGTGCTGCTACCACAGATGATCTCGCTCTCGAAATGGAATTGAACGGTTCAGATTAGCTAGACGAATGAATAGAAGGGGTAGAGCGTAGCCGCCTGTGGCCCGGGCTGCCTGTTACGACTCCAGTACGCATGCGCGGATGACGTCAAACACGCGCCGCTTTGTTTTTAAAACATATAAATATAACAAATATAACCGCGGATGTCTGGGGGACAGTGATTCGCCTACATGTTATGAATGCTGGCGTACCATAAATGATAAATTATGAACAGTTCAGTTTGTGCCTTCAACTCGTTGCCCATAGGAAGACGTTACTTGGATATTACAAAACGGAATATCTTCAGAACGGCTCCAAATGCCACAAAACTCTTATGGGTGAGTAGAACATGATGTAATAACGTAAAATCAAGTTAAAAAAATGGCGTTCCCCTTTAATGTTTCCCTTCATAAAGGTTTGGTACGTCCTGCAGCAGCTTCTGTGCAAGGATCATGCAGAAGTCATTCACTGTGATGTTACAAGGTAAACAACAACATCCCAGATATCAGAGACGTCATTTCAGGCTTTGAAAACAAAAAAACTGCTTGATATTTAGGTTAAATAAAATGCTTTCTTGTTTATTATTATTTTCTTTATAATTGCCCTAACCTACCACACCGTTTTATAAGATGGTTTTGCCGTTGATGCAGCTTATTAGACTTTTTTAAAGCTGATTCAGCGAAGCACAGAACGCTCTCTATGCTGCAGGTAAAGGCAAGGAAATAATGAGCCTGAATCCTCCTTCCGCTCGAGATCAGACTGTGGCTCCATCACTTATATAGAATATTATCACCAGAGGAACAAGCCTTAAGCCAGAGGTAGAGCCAACTTCAGATTGTTTTCAGCTATAGCTCACCCTCTAGGCAGACTGTCATCAGTGTGTGTTTAGTGCTCTTATAGTGCTCAGAAATGATGAGGTTTTTGTCACTTCAATCCGTGCATCAGAATTAAATATAGTAAATATTAAATGTTTTTTTTTTTATTATTTGAGTCAGTAAGTATTTACCAAATAAATAATAAAATAAATTTGATTCAAATTCAAGAACCAGGGACAATGATGGCTGTTTTAATTTTTTTCTTTTATGTGTGCCTCGCTTAACTGCCTCTTAAGTAAAAAAAAAAAAAAAAACATAATCAACTTCTGTAGTTTGGGTTCAGGTAAAACATTAATGAATATTTGAAAATGATTTAATGGATTCGGAGGGTATGAGTTTTAAACGTATTTAGAGTTGTTCTAATCTCTTTCTGCTTTGCCGATATTCATATTGCTCTCTCCTAAGGGCTGAATCAAAGCAGTCCAGTGGAGAGGCAGAGAGAGGAGATTAAACTAAATGCATTTTTATTTTGAATCCTGCAAAAACAATCCTAAAATTAAGACGTTGCATTTGAATGACACTAAAGTAGTTGATTAATATAGTTTAGCTTTCGTGTCTAGTTTCGTACGTTTAAAACAGCAGGACATATCTTAACATTGGATTTTTTCTTTACTGACTCATTTCTATTTATATTAGAATATATATTAAAATAGTAAATTAGAATATTTTCAGATGTTGAGATAAAATTTGAAATTTGTTCCTTTTGTGACCCAGTTCCCTCCACCTACTGAGGAATATAGATATTATGTTTATCTGTAGCTTTTATAGAAGAGAAAAATGTTTTCAGTCAGACAGCGTTGTTAGATAAATACAGAATTGTGGTCATTTCAATTGCACAGAATAAATAAAATAATAAAAATTTTGAATAAATGTTTGTTTTTTTTACTTTATTTTTACATTATAATTTCTCATATAATCAATATCTTTATGTGGTGGACAGGTGTTCTGGAACAACTGTCAGTTTCATGTCTTGGGATATTTGCAGTTGTGTCATTTTCTTTTTACTTTCAGACGACTTACAGAACAGCGAGCAGAGCTTGGACTGATTAGTCTGCTCTGTTGTTTTCTCATTATCATCTGAGTCCTTTACAAAATGTTCAGCAAATGTACATATTTAGTCCTGATAAAATACAAAGCAGATTGTTTTTGTAAAAAGGCTGAACCAGAAAAGGCTAAAGCATTTGGAAACTCTTAGAATCAATAAAAAAAACAAAAAACAAAACTATGATGCAAACTGCTAAAAAATGAGCAAAGTTTAAACTTTTCATCATTTACATATGTATCTCAGGAACCCTTTTTGTTGCAGCAGGAACTGCCTTCATACCTGGTTGCCTCCCATGCCGTGGCAGTTGAAAATGCCAACCTTCTCGTTTTCCTTGCGGGCCATGTTGTCCAAGCACTGGTTGGTCTCTACGTTACGGATCTGAGGCAAACACACACAGATCAAAGTAAGGATCGCTCACTAACGCAGCATAGACAGTCAGTGTGTGTGAAGGTGTGCGTGCTGATGGTTACCTCTCCCAGGGAGTAATAGTGCCTGGGGATTTGGGAGTCAGGGTAGACATTCTCCAAATACCAGCTGAAGGGTTTACACTGGAGCTTATGTCTTAAAGAAATGCGAGATGAGATGTCACCGTAGTCCACTTTGGTCACACCTGGAAACACAAACACAGACACAGCATTAATGGGGACAAACTGCCTCAACTCAACCATCATTGCCTGACCACTAGAGGACACTTAGTAATGTTCATAAATACGATGCTACCCTAAAACATATGGTAATCTAAGCGAATCAGGTAATATCAAATATTTTTGTTTTATTTTAACCAAGCACTGGTTACTTGATCACATTTAATCATATTTAACTACAAACCTTAACATATTAGATTTTATTTGGTAGAAAGGAAAAAAAAAAAAAGAAAATTACTGCAAATGTTTTATTCTTTCTTCAGCTTTCTTAAAATGCATTCCAGCCAGGTGGGCTAGTTAGAGGAACCATGCAGACCAATGAACACACCATGGTTATGGAGAGATTACAGTGGGGTAAGGATATGAAGCAATAATCCAAATACTGTAAGTTTGTGGTATGAATAAATGTGAACTATTTGCAAGGCTTTGTATTTTAGCTTGTAGTAGGTATTCAGCAGATCCTCTGGGTTTTTGCTCTACTAGAATGTAAGCAAAATGTTTAGAGATCTTAGCATTTTTTATTTTAATGTTTTGCTCAGTGTTTTTTTTTTATTGCACTCTTTAAAGCAACAACATTCTGATGCCTGTTTTTGTTTTGTTTTTAACTTTTCTGCTTTCCATGACTTCATGTGTACTTAGGACAACGACAGGAGTCCTGGAGCACAGACAGAGGCTGACAGAACTACCAGTGAGGTGAAACCATGAGATCAGTTTATTTTCTGTAAACTGTCATGTTTCACGACAGCTTGGATTAGTCTGACAGACCTGCCATGTCGGTGCAAGAAAATACAAGCAGTAAATGTATAAATAATATAAAATGTATAAAAAAAAATATATACATTTAGACAGATTTATGCGCATAGAGTAAAAGTTGGAGATGCAAATGAGAACATAATGTGTTTTCTTTCTAACAAATATCTTTTGCCTAAATAATTATAGAGAAAAGTATTTTATTTTTTTTTTCAAATTGGCTGAACTCTAATCTTTTTACCAACATCTGCTTTTCCAATAAGGCGAAACCAAGCAGTACAGATCTCAGGCTATAATGAAAATGATAAGAAAATGTCAAGATGACCTGGCAAGATTCCTATTCCATGTAATAAATTTGCTTGGTTCCTCTTAATGTCAGCATCACTTCAACTCTCCAACAGCATAATGACGCAGTCAGGCTGCTTCCTGCTCATTCTGAAACAACTGGACCGGTCTCACCTCTCAGAACCCCCATCTATCCCTCAGGACACCATGCCTATCCTAGCATCAGTTCATCTCTTCCACACTCCTTCCTGCCTCGCTTGTTAAAATACTGATACATTAATAAGCAGTAATGAAATATTAAACGTTCAACAAGTCTTTCAGCAAAGACTATAAAGCTGTTTGCTGACCACAGGAACAGTTTCCTGTGGCTCCCTCCATGCCAACAGACATTGGACATTTAACCATAGCTAGTTTTGCTGACACTGGGCCAATCAGGAACAGGAAATGTTTTTGACACATTTGCATGAGTTTGGTTAGTTTTTAACCAACTACATTATTTAATAAACACATCCCTAACAGTGTTATTTCATAAAATAGGTTTTCCACAGATGCTAAAACCTGGACAGCTGCAACACTCCTGAACAGGTTTTCAAGTTTGGACCTATTGCAGTTATGCAAAAATGTCGCTTTGTATTAACCAGAGATAAGATTTAGATAACACCTAAAAAAAAAGAAAAGGCCTCTGTTGTTAGGGTGAGAAGCAGCATGATATAGCCCAATACAAAAAAAAAAGATTTACCAAAATCATATTATATATTATATTTCAGTATTGAATTCAGGTTTATTGGACTAAGAGAAAATCTGCAATATGCATTAACACAAAACTTGACAGGTGCAAAAAATTGGGTACCCTCATCTTTTTTATTGATTTGAATACCCTTAACTACTTTTCACTGACTTACTGAAACACACAATTGGTTTGGTAACTTCATTAAGATTTGAACTTCATAGCCAGGTGTATCCAATCATGAGAAAATGTATTTAAGGTGGCCAGTTGCAAGTTTTCCTGTTTGAATCTCCTCTGAATATTCATCATGGGCACCACAGAACAACTCTCAAATTATCTGAAAATAAAGATTGTTCAACATAGTCGTTCAGGGGAAGGATACAAAGAGTTGTCTCAGAGATTTCAGTTTCCACTGTGAGGAACATAGTAAGGAAATTGAAGACCACAGGGAAAGTTCTTGTTAAGCCCAGAAGTGGCAGGCCAAGAAAATTATTAGAGAGGCAGAGAAGAAGAATGGTGAGAATGGTCAAGGACAACCCAAAGATTAATAGGGGTGCCCAAACTTTTTTATATGACTGTAAGAATGACTGGAAGCATTCTGTGTACTGAGCACAAGTTCACGTTAAATTAACAGCCCATGAGCCGATTGCAGCATGTCAGAGTAATTCATCAAGTCACAGAGTAGAGGCAGAGTGTTTTTAAGGGCACAAAGTGGCTGAAACAAATAAATTGAAATTGAAATCATAATACCAGAACAATGTGCTCTTTGTAAATTAAATTATGAAATTAAAAGTTTCATTCATATAGCTGTAACTGATCCTGTTTAAAGCTTTGATGATGCCAAAATGGCCCCTGCACTAACAAGTGCAAAGGAAGTGACCTATTTGATGAATATCTTTTCATTTCACAGCAACAGTTGCTTTTCAAGAGCAAATCGCAGGTTAGATTTTTTTGACAACATGCAAACCAAGTGTTGTCTAATAAATCATATTTGAAAAGTTTATTTAGGATTGAAAGTGTTTTGGCCAACATAACGATGTTAATTATCCAATTAAGAGCTCTCACAAGGGGTCAAACCATCAGCGCTGCTTCAGTTCTGTGTAGAGAGCAGGTATTTAATAATTAGAGCGGATGAAGTTTGATCATTTATTTATTAAAACCATGGTCAAATAATGTGTTTGTGGGAGGTGTTAAATGGAGCTGATATGAGTTAAACTGAGATGCTACCAGTGTTCAAGTTATGGTAAAAATATTAGCGGAGCAGAGGCTCAGTAAACAGGAAATCCCATACAGTGGATGGCTGATTGGGAACTCTGACTGGTTTCAATATGAATGCTGGAGAAACTTTAAAGGGAAAACAAAGGGATATACTATTACTGCTGCACATCTCAGTGCGCACAGGAAGAAGGGGACATTGTCTCACCAGCAGATGGTGTTTCTTACTGCTTACCAGCCAAAATTTTGCTCTGAGATCTGATTTCAATTTTTAAAAACATCACAGTGCAAAATGGCGTCATCTCATGACGTCTGTAGCAGGATGCTGCTGGACTGAACTATTGTTGTAAAATTGCCTCTAAAGACCAAGCTGTGACTTTACTATGACTGTCAGAAGATGTTATTGCTATTCTCTATATCGTTGCTGTTTCCCAATGATCTCATTCTCATTTTCAGTTTGACTAACATCACTGAATCAACAATACTAACAGATTTTATAAGGTGCGTAGCATTTTTGAAGTGTCCAAATTATAATAATTGAACTGTGTGATTTGGTGCCAACATTTTTCAAAGCCTGTCTTGGTAGAATGTTGTCACAATATTACCTGCTCCCATTATTCAACAGTTTAATAATAAAAGAAACCGTCAACCACTTCACTTTTCTTTTTATAACAAAAATAAGCTTTATTGAAAACTTTCAGTAACAGTCTGCCATAATAATTTCAAATGTGCTGCTGTTTGACGTCTACATTCTCCATCTGTGGATGCGGATCTCCTGGGAGTTAGAAGCAGCTAGAAAAAAACTCTAATGCTGATTGTATTTAATAAACAAGATAAACGACCATTTTTTTGAATTTGTAAATAACTACATAGGCATGTTGTCACTTATTAGAGAGAGATTGAACAGGAAATTCTTAATATATAATATTATGGGGAGGTCAACATTTTTGGTGTTTAAATCTGACAGATTACAAAGAAGTTATAGCAGATTGGTGATATAGTTGCGAGGCTTTAAAAAAGTATCTTAAAAGAATGACGACAGACAGACAACAGTATGGATTGAGGCAGAGACAGAGAAACCTAGTACTACAAGTTAATAAAAAGAATATAAATACAGTGAATATTTTTCCAACCTTTTTTCATATCTCCCAGCTTAAAAATGCTCAAAGAAAAGACAGATTTTCACCAGACCACATAACAGCTCTGTAAGATGGAAATGAATGAAAACACTGCGACAAGTTTAAACAACCAAGTCTGACCCTACCCACACCCATAGTCAGCTATACATGTGCTGGTTTAAAAATGGGAGCCAGTACACAGTGGCTCTAACCACCCTTACCACACATACTTCACAAAACAATTGTTTTCAACCTCTTTCTTCCTTCGTTCTTCTACAGGCTGCGCTAGTGCACCACCCTTGATGTGTGGCATATATATTACAACCCCTATTACAGCTTTATTGGCTTCAGGCTGTCTCATTTTTACTCTAGAGGTTTTTTTATGCAGATACCTTCTTCAACTTTGAGTTACACTACCCTCTTGAAACTGCTGAGATCGGTCAGAGCATGGTAACCCAGATAACTGTTAAAATGGCATGCAAAACTGAATCGGACCGTATCAGATACAACCAGTGATAACATGGTACCAGTTCATCAGTAGGGCTTGGCGCGGTTCAGTTGTAGCTCAGTTCTCTGATAACAAAGAGCGCATGAGCAGATCGTGTCATCTCCTCACAGTCAGCCTCCGTAATCATGAAATATCAGACATTCATAAAAATACTAGCTTCCCTACCGTGCCACACCATTTCCTGTGATCATTCTGGTTAAGTGTCATGAACCTCAACATCAGTTGTTTCCTGTGTTTGTAAGCCCTGATTTTCATATCCACTTTTCAAAAGCCGACTCTGTCAAGTAAATTCATCAAAGGCTGCATTTTTCGCCTGACTCTCCGCAAACAACCAAATATGATAATTATAACCAAATATCTTTAATGTTACAGGCTCCGCCATGTTGGTTTGCTTGATTCGCTCTAGAGAGAAGTAATACCATAGCACAGTAGTAGTACCGTAGATCGTCACTAGGAGGCGAGGACCCTTGCTAGCATGGTGTGTAAACAGTTGTAAGGCACCAAGCTCGGCACGGTTAACTGATCCAAGCTCGGTTCGAACTCTGCATGGATCGGTTTTCAGAGGGTAGTGTAAATGGGGCTTTAGTTACTTGTAGTATATCTGTCCCAATGCTCTTCGTATACTGGGAAGAACAGGCTTTTATACACACTGCAAGCAACCGCTCCAGGGTGCTGATCCATTCTGGCAAGACCAGCAGTTGTAACCATGCTAGGGTCCGGTTCAAGGACCCTGAATTGGGTTCACACTAGCCTGATCCATTCCAGAAACCGGACTCTGTTAAAGTTCAAAGCTTTACAAAGGTCTGACTTGACATCACGGTCTGTCTTTACAAAACTCACCTAAAGATATCACCTTATAAGCTGACTAGTATAAGGTAATATCTGACTAGGGTTACTGGGACCTGTTGAAAAATGACAGTACACTATTTTCTGACTTTTTTTACTTTTGTGTTGCCTCCACATTCTAAGCTTGTGTGTTTTCCTGTTTGTGTGCTGAGGTAAATAGATCTTCTGTAGCATGAAATTACTTGCTGCCACACACCCTGCGCTGCTCGCCTACCACTGCAGTATCACACTGTCACCAGGTTAATGGATTGATCACACACTGCCACAGAGATTAACCTCCACACACCAGTACCTACATGCATATCTTAATGAAGACATAAACACACATCGCCTGACTCACCAGGAGAGATTATGTAGAAGAAGTTCTTGAATTCATCCATCCAGACCTCTGCCAGGCGGCGGTTATTTTTGTTGATGATCTGTCCCGTTCCTCCGGGAAACGTGTAGGGCGTTGCCTTTCTGAACACGTGACCCACGTGGGAGCATGTGACGATCTCCAGGGTCCCTCCACACTGCCAGATCTGTGAGGAAGAAGTTTATAAAATGTTTTAAAAAGCATATCTTGAATGTGTTAATCTTGGTCTCTGTCAAAAGATAGCTGACTGCTGAGGTTTGTGAATCTGAAATCAGAGTGTAGTATTGGTGTGAGTGTCTGATTCTTAACCCTGGCTGACGGTGCTGAAACCTTGCCAGCGCACTTCAGAAAAGAGTCATGCTAGTTGGCTGCGTTCACTCACTCTGAATGAAATTTCCAGGTTTTCTCCTCCCCAGATGTCCATTCCTGCGTCATATGTGCCGATCTCCTGGAAATAATCCCTGTCTATGGAGAACAAGCCGCCTGCCATGGTAGGAGTCCTGGTGAGCAGAATAAATTTAAAAAGTGAGGCTGGTTTGTGTCACTTCATTCCCCGGCAGCCTGTTTTCTAAAGGTCACTCAATATCTACAGATCCCATCAGAGCTTTATATTTCAGCCCTTGTTCTTTACCATCTTCCTGTTATTTTCCATTTCTCTTCTTTCCTCTGCCAGGGCTCTATTGCTGTGATGGTCATGTCAATGTTTAATAGCCTCAGTCCTCCTTCCCTTCACATCCTGTAACACAATGGCTTCCTCCTTTTTAAAAGAGGCCTATTTTCTCTACTACCTGTTTTCTTCTTTCAGATAACGATTTTAAAGCACTCAAAAAGAAAAACCCCAAAACAATCGCATAGAAATAAACCCAGCTGGAATGGTGGCGTGCATCACAGCATTTATCCAATGAATAAAATCAAAGAAATTAAAGATGATGTAGAAGAAGCAACTCGATGAGAGTAAATAAATAACTGAAGATTCTCCATTAGCGGATAACGCATCAAAGTTGTGTAAACAACAAAATTATCTCAGACCTTTTATGAGAGACATGTGGCAGTAAAACAAACCAGAGTTGCTAAATTAAAGTAAAGCTCTGATCCTGAACGAATCTGCCTTTCCAAACAGAGTCTGTCGCATTCATAAGAGCAGCGTTTACAAACCTCTGATTATAAAAATAGTGATTTGCACAAATTCTGGCACCATAAAACACAACAGAAACCTCAAAAAAGGACAGTTAGAATAAATTAAAATAGATTTTTATTCCTTTTTGGAAAAGTTACAACATCTCAAACACTGACATTTCTCACATTAGGAGAACATCAGGAAATATTTTTGCATTTAATGTTGCTTTAAATTCATATATAAAAGGTCTGCAAAGCAAAATGGCAATAAACAATCAAAAATAAGGGCGCTGCAAGTTACATAAGATATATTATCTAAGTGACCTTGAAAAGTGGCGTCAAAGCAAGCTTAGAAACAAGAGCAGGAAGCACAGATGATAGACAGCGAGAAAGAAACTTCATTTTTGCTTCAAGGTCCCAAGCTTAAGAGGCAAAGCAACAAGAATAGTAATAATAAAAAAGAAACAGTAGCTCATAAACGACATTGAGTTCAGCTAGAAAGGGAAGTTCACTGCGTTCAATCAGTTCTGCTGCCCCGAAAGCATCCTATGATTAAGCATGTCTAAATGATTTGTTATGTATGACTGCTCTACACAACTGTGAATGCCTATCAGCAAAATTAATGCAAACAGGATATGTGATTCTAAGCAGCTGACTGGAGTTGGTGTGGCACATTAAGTGTTGGGTTATATCGCTGCTATTTTATTTTGTCTCTAAGGGAAATCTTTTTCACATGACCTAACAGAGAGGTCAAACTCAGTTGCACAAGAGCAGAACAAACAGTCTAATAATCCTGCTGAAATAAGTTAAAAAGCTGCTAAATGAATTGTGTTGCCAGACCTGACGGGTAGCGTGCGGTCTCCTTTGCGGCGGTCCATCTCCCTCTGAGGCACAGGGTACCAGCGGAAGTTCAGCTTCCAGTTGAAACCCCCATACGTCATGTCAGACCCTGCCATGTACTCAAATGTATCGTCACTGATAACGTCGATAATGGGGCACACAACTGTTCTCCTGGAGGAGTAATAAGAAATGCTAGGTTAATCTACAAACCTGCAACATTCAAAGGTGAAATAAAGCAGCTGTGAAAAAGCTTAGGTTGCCAACTATCTGTAAGATGAGACACCTACTACCAGTAGAACAAAAGCCAACTAATGGGAATTCTAATTGCAAATCACATCTTAGTTTTCCGTTACCGTTTGTGAGCACATGACATGTAGTAAACGATGATTTAGAACTAAACACAAGGATGAGCCCCCTGCAGATTCAACAGCAGCAGTTTAGACACTAATACTTGGTAATAGTGTCCATGTCTCTCATGTAAATTGGTCTTACTTGTCTTGTTTGATGCGGGCCAGCAGAGGCTCTAGCCACCCTGTGGTGCATTCACAATGAGCATCCAGAAAGGTGATGACCTAAGAAGCCAACAAGGAAACATCAGACAAATCCAGCATAAGTCTGCAGCAGGTGCAGTGCAGGTTATAGGCCAATTCAAAATCACATATACACAACCTTGGCAAGATAAACACAATCCTTTTTCGTTTGCATCTTTGTTTGTGTTAAAAACACAAAATTACATTTAATTAAAGAGTATTCTAAGTGAGACCAAAACAAAATGGCACATGATTGTCAAATAAAGAGAAAACAATGAATGGTTTTAAAGATTTGCTTCAAGAAATATCTTTAAAAGTTTTGTACTTTGGCACGCATCCATGTTGAGGTAATATTTTGCTGAACCACAGTTGGCTGCAATTACAGCTGATAAGGTTTTATTCATTAGTCTCTACCAGCTTTATGCATCTAAAGATAATTGTTTTTGCTTATTCTTCTTATCAAAATACTGCATGGTCAGTCAGACTGGATAGAGAGCGTCTGTGATGAGCATCTTTAAAGTCAAAGAACCTGTGAAGAACCTGGTTATATAAATTTCTGTATCTGTAAAAAATTTCTGTATCTGTAAAAAATGTGAATATTACGCATTTTTTCCTTCAACTTTCCAGCAGCAATAAACATTGCTTTGTGTGGTCAATCAAGTAAATCCTAAAACAAAACACTGACAGCATATAGTTGTCGCATGACAAAACGTAGTCAGACATACAAAAACACACCTGGCCAGTAGAGATGGAAGCCCCTTTGAGGCGGGCACGAATGAGTCCAGACCGCTGCTCCATCCTCACCACTCTGACCGGCACTTCTAACTTTCTGACGTACTGCTCCAGCGGCCGTTTGAGAAAATCTGATACAAATAGAAAAGATTGCAAAAAGGAAACACACCTTTAACATTAAGATTAACAAACTTTTCTCCTTGTAGCAACAAAGGTCACTCAAAACTTTTACTAAACTAAAACTAGTTGGCAGGTCTGTCAGTATCGTTTCTACACCCCCTCTTGTTTTACAGCATCAGCTCTCATAAGATGCATTGTTACTCTGTGTTTGCAGCGGAGGGGAATGGAGGTTATAGCACAGCGTAATCCTAGCGGCTGGCATATTAAAGACCTAATCTCTCCCAAACAGGGATTACCAGCATTGCGCAGGGTAAGTTGGCACACACAGCCCTTAAACATGTATATCTTGACTCGCTACCCACAAGAGAACATGAACGACTAAAATTATACAGCAATAAAAAAAAAAAAAGATAGGCTAAGCCCGAAAAAGGAATCCTCAGCAGTTTGCATATTACCTCTCTCACTGGCATCGTCCACCAGGACGATCTCCTCCAGCAGTGTGTGTGGAGAGCGATCAATAACTGAGTGAACGGTTCGCAGCAGTGTACTCCAAGCCTCATTGTGAAATACGATCACCACGCTGGTGCGAGGAAGATTATCAGGGTATAACTTGTTCTTGCACCTATGGAGAGCAAGTAAAAAAAACACAAAGGTTTTTATGTAACAAAACTGCTAGAATTATCCGATACTTTGAGCAGAGAAAAAAATATAACCAACTATCGAGCCTCTTTTTATTTGTAAAAAAATCTGCAATTAAATTGTTCTACAGCTAGAAGACGTGCACTGACTCTAAAATAAGCAAACTCAAATGAAGAAATCAGGCAGTTATGAAATCAATCAGGCAATCATGAGATCAGGACTCTGTTAAAATTATATTTCTATAAAAAAAATGCTAGAGATGAATAATGAGGTAGAAGTAAAACAGATATTCCAAATAATGGAGAGTAATACGGGGCAGAAGTCTGCAGCATGACAGCTGATTAATGCTCCTAATTAGATCCTAAGTCAGTAATACCAGATAAGAGCACAAAGTTCTCCTTCGAGAGAAATAACACTGAAAATACTTACAAGAGAATAACAAATAGAACAAACTGAAGACAAAAATCAGGAAACAGTTATGGCCAGAGGGTTACAAATACAAATCACTGAGCTAATATCACCATAAAAGACACATTTGAAGTGATTTTTCTCCCTGGTGAAATGATTCACTACAAGGATGTTTAAAGTATCTTAAAAATGGGAAGCAGTTGAACACAGTTGAATATATTTGTGAAATTTTCTAAGCCAAACAGGTTTATATTTTTATAAAAAGGTTTAAACTTACACATAAACCCCCACATAAACTTAATTTAATGCCTCTTAGCAGGGTACATTTTAACAGCCCACTAAGCTACGGCATGCTTAAGACATAGTTCTGTTTTTATATTAGATTATCTTTGTAGACACAATTAGCATTTTGTTGGCTTGGTTTTAGTAAAAACATTGAACAAAAGCTCAACTAACCATTATTTGCTGAGCTATTAATTTGTTGACCTTTTCATTTCATTAACCAATTAATAATAGAATAGGGGTTTAAATGGCATATTATTCTAGAGCATTTGAAGCAGCTGACATAAAAATCCCATTTGGGGACTTCTAAATCAAGCATATTTACAAATAAGGGTTTTAATCTTAAATACAAAATGTACATTTTCTTTTTTTGGCCAAATGACAGCATTAAAAGGGCTTATCTTTGACTAAATTTTCTGTTTTAAAGTCTATATGATCCTGTTAACAGTTATATAATTACTAAAATTGAATGTCAAACATGAAAATTAAAGAAATACCGAAGTATATTCAGAGAAAAATATAACATCTGTCATAATCGTGCCTGTACAAACAAACACTCCCAGAGAAGCTAAAACGTTTACAAATGGACATCAGCATCTGGGACAGTGTAAAGGATTCTTGATCTTGCCATGTTTGTAAACACTTACTGAGTTTGCAGAGAAAAGTAGAGATAATAATAAATAAAAGAAAATGTTACAACATAGTTTGTAAGATTACTGGATTACTTAACATTTATTATTAAAAGCCTTATAATAATGAAATATTCCTGCCCAGGAAGAGGGAATTGAAACCTTTTCATTTTTGAAGCTGCATTTAAAACTCTATTCAGGGTATTCGCTAAAGGGTATTGGAATCCAAAGAGTGATGAATCACACTGTTTGCTTTAGAGCTCTAAAAGTTCCCATAAAACAGCTGAGCGGGGGTTCTTTGGTTGGACATGCTTAGGTGTTTCCTAAAGAAAGGGAGGTCTAACATCCTGAAACACCAAGGACATTTTGTTTTAAATATAATAAAGAAAAAAAAAACACATACACACATAGATTTACTGAAAAACAAAAACCTGATAGGGCTTTAACTCCAAGATTGTTTAGAGGAAAGAAAAAAAAAAAAGAAGAAATGTAAATAAATGTTTTTAATGAATGTAAACACGCCACAAGTACCAATAAATCACAATTATATTCCTTGTTAACAGCCTTGTTGTCTAATTTCACTTGTTTATAATAAACTAGGATAAAACTAATCATCTTGTTAACACCCTTTATCTTCTGATATTTCTCTGCAGTGTATCACTACAGTCAACTTTGATTATTTAGTCTTAGTAGCATAAAAATAGAGACCCACTAAATATAAATCATATTATGACTATTTTAATTATACTTTTGTTCAAGCAGATATCTGTATGTAAACAATTACAACACCAGCCAAATTAAAGCAGGAAGGTGAATAAAATTTTTTTTTTCACGTAACCATTACTATAATCACACTTGATGCCCTATCGCGGAATATTGAAAGAGTTGAAAGGTTCATTTTTAAATTTCATAAGAATGATATTAGGCAGTAAGATACAAGCATAAAAAGTCTATTTGGTGTAATGAAGCTTAATGAAGATGGACAGAAAACAAACAACCTCTAGCTCAGGCACATTTTAGAGATATTAAGACCCATCAAGCAATATATATATTTTTTTTATTTAGGAAAAAAAATAATCAAAAAAAGTCTGAATGTCGGCCCTAACCCCTATATAGGGGCACTATATAGTGGTTACACCATTTTAGATGAGTGTCCGAAGGTATAGTGGATGAAAAAGTAGTGGACTCGAAATTTCCCACAACGCACCTTAATAAGTAGTGATCATGCCTGGTCGAGCAGATATATCCCAGAATGCTTTGTGAGAGCTCGCACTGCAACATGGGATATTTTGTGACAGCGGGGACAGATAACACAGATGGCGCAAGCAGGGAGGTAGAATTATGTGACCAACGGGGAGCAAAAAGTAGTGTCACCTGTCTGAACGGCCAGTCAACTGAGCTCACATTAAAGTCCACTATATAGTCCCTAGTTTATATAGTGAATGAGGGATCTAGGGGTTAGGGTGGACGTTTGGGCACAAACCATGTCAATTACCACAACACATATCCAACATCCCTTAAAACATCAAGAAGTAGAGATTGAAATGAGCCCATTCACCAACAGCTTCAACAAAACCTTGCTTCAAAAAGAATGTTTGATGATCTACATTTAAATCAGAAGCACAAATTGCAATATAGCAGATAAACAAGATCTTTCAGAGGATCGAGAATGGAGCTAAAAGCAGCCGAGGAACATAAACAAACTTGTGTGCTGAAAAATTACAATATCAGTTACAATAAATTCATTTTCTTCCTCCTCTTTTTTATCCAGCATTAGAAGGCTACCATCAGTCACTATGACCTTTAGAATCCGTGTCACCTTCTTGCATTCAATTTAGCAAGATTAAAACTTGAAATATAATACCCATCTTATCCTTAATTTCCAAAAACATTTGAGATGTGTAAAGGTTTTTGTTTTGCTTTTTTACATTTTACACACTAATATTGTGATAATAAATTTGTGACAGATTGTCCAGATATAACTGAAAGGGCCACTGGATAGTTCCTGTCTTCTGTCCAGAAACTCTGTTTTGGGGAACTGCAGGTATAATCTAAATGTAAAACTATAAACCTAAGGAGGAATGATACCTGCTCCCTGATATTCACTCCTCTATATGTTAGTCTGTCAAATCTCTGCAAGCAGCTCATTCATCTGCAGAACTGATACCACCCCTGTGCCTTCCATCCGCTGATAAATTCAGCTCTTTCAACAGCCAAATGGAATATGATCTCCCTTCCTCCATCTTCATAACTCTCCCTCCTCCTAGTGATCATCCTGGGAGCTGAAGTGCTTCCTCTGCCTCTGCTGTTGATTATGACAGAGGGAATGTAACAGCAACAGAGAGGAGGTCAAAAGTATACTTATTCTGCAGCTGCCTCAGGAACACACTAAATAAGACAGACATTCTCAGTCTCTGCTGTGCATGAGTGTGTGTGTGTGCACTAATACTGTCCAAAGAAGGGGGGCTGAGGAGTATAGTGGATGATTCATAGCAAAACATAGAATCGTTAAGATCTTTTATGAGACATGTTGTTTTTTTTGCTTGTATGTTTCTTTCACACTTGATACTCACTCATTTATTAGTTTTATTTAGTGTAAATTGGCCCTGAGGCAATTTTTCATGTTGATGATTGAAACAACAAGTACTTGTTGGGCGTGCTGCACATCCAGCTGAAAAGGCGGGATGACAAACATTTGGCTGCAGAAAAGCAGGCAATGAGTTAAGGGTTGTTTTTTCCAGCCAGAGGATTGTGGGAATATTTGGGATGGGTGTGCGAACTGGTTTCAATTAGCCAGGATTACTCTTGCAACATTAAACACAGAAAAATACCATATATTATTGAGTGAGTTCTCAATAACAGTAAAATAAGCGACTCTGCTAGAAAAGTTTTCTGATAGGTGTGGTCACAGACTGATTGCAACAACACCCTGCAAAATGCTAGTTTTACATGTATGTGCTACATAGCTGACACATAGCAGAAAGCTTTTCACTCTAATGGTTTTTATCCCAGCTAAACAAGCTGAGTAACAAACATTCACACATAATAAGCAAAAATATATGCATACTTATACACAGCTAGGTGCACATTCCTTCTTATGATATTGACTCCGTCTTATCTTCTAATTGGAAAAGTAGATAGATGAAGCGAAAGCAGAGTGGAAACACACCTGGTAATCAACTCTCCCTGCAAGACTAAAACCCATTTCATGGATCAATGTCCTCTGACTTTCCTGTCAAGTCTGGTATGCACATGCCTCTGCCTGACAGTCATATGTCTCCCTCTCCTGTGCTGCATAGCCCCATTCCCGACCTATGTATCCTCCAATGCACAATCGAAACAAGGTCAAAAGGAAAAGGAGAGTCGAGTTGTATCCGATGGCCAGAACCAACCATGACATTTCTTTCATGATCCTGTCTGAACACATGCTGTGTTAAATCTTCCATTCTTAAAGGCAGAATGACTTACAGCAAAACAGAACTACACCAAACTCTGAATTTGAAAATATAGTTTTCACTACACTATAGCCTCCATTGAATAGAATTTGCATTAGGCAATACATGTTGTGTTGTTTAATAAGGGATTGCCTATAAAGCCATGCTGCTTTTGCAGAGGAAGGCACAACCCTTTAAAGACATTGAGAAACCTGTTCATGCACTTTAATATTTACAAGCAGCAAAGCACATGTCTAAACTTTCCTCTTTTGGTATTTCATTTGGTTTTACAAGTTTCTATTTTTGCATACTCTAATTTTTTCTTCTACCCGTTTAGCAGTTAGTCCAAAAAGTGTAACAGCTTAAATCTGACTGTTCTAATAAAGCATAATTCCTTTGTAAAAAGGTTCCAATATAAGAGAAAAGGTCAGACAAAATGTCGACTGAATTCAGGAAAGAAAAGACACCAAATTTAAAATACAGAATTATTGGGAATCTTTCAGTTTTTGTATGAGAGCTGATTAATCAGATCACTTGAGAGCTGATTAATCAGATCACTTGAGAGCTGATTAATCAAAAACACTTGGACAGTTTTTATGTTGTCACATAAAAACTGTCCCTGTGTTTTTGTTTAATTTTTACAGCGGTGTTCACAGTTAAAGTGAGACCGTATCAGCTGCTGAAGCTTCCTGTCCACTGAGCAGATAACATCAAACAGACAGGTTCGGCCCAAAACCAAACCGCTCCACATGCACAGATCCTCAGCAGATTCCCTGCAGACCTTCCAGCAGCGTCTGCCAAGTCAGAAGGCCGCTTAGAATTAAATAATAAACCCACTCATGCTTTTGATGTCTTTGTAAGAATATAATGCAATTTTAACTTTAGATTTTAATTGGTTGGTATTCTGCAGAATTAAAGACTGCTTCATGACGATCACATGAAACACATCATATTGCTTTATTGTTTTTCCTTTTTAGAGCTTCAGAAACCTAATAAATTACCTCCAATAAATTAGGGTAAATTCACTGTTCTCTTTGTTTTCCATCATCATGATGAGTCTCCTCCTTATCTGAACTTTACAAATTAAAGAGAATCTTAAAAATATGCTTCCTTATTGAACTTAAAGCATGTATCGTTTACCCTTGGTGGATTCCAATACAAGTTGCATATTATTATATAATTTCCAAATAGAGAATAATCCATAATCATGCTTTAATGATCCTAATCATAAAATTAATTGAGGGCAGACATCTTCCTCTTCCTCTGTTTTATCCATAAATTGTTTATGTTTTTGAAACAAGAGAAATAATAAAAATCTTCTTATTTCCATGCTCAAATTCATAAAAAAAAGTTACCATTTCATTTTTTATAAAACTATAAACCTTTGGATTTGTGTCTTTTTTATCTTTTTTTCATCTACTCTACTCTAAGCCACAAACGTGATTAAAGAAAGAACAACACCATGTATCATTAGTTTCTGAAAGGCAGCTTACCCCTCCAGACGGACGTCAGGTAGTGAGCGATTGAGAGCTATCCTCTCTGAGGCCATGAGGTTAAACTGGTTTATCTTAAACATCTCCTTCATTTTCTCCTGTTCTTCTTTAGGGATCACCACCGGCTTCCCGCCTTCACCAGGCCCGTCCCGTGGTCTGGACAGGCCATCTATGATGGACATAAACAGATTTTCTCTGAAATGCATGTATATAATGTAAAGTGTCAAGGAGTAAATGTGCCGGAAGTACCTACCAGCTCTCCCAGGTAGTCCCCTCTCCTTTTTATCATCGCACTTGTTGCACTCGCTGAAGTAGAGCAGAATGAACATGTCCAGCATCACCCAGACCAGAGAGGTGGCTAAAACCACTTTACAGTAAGCAAACCTTCGCATCCTATAAATGCAAAGACAGATAATTAGAAAGCATGGAAAATAAATAGATAAAAATGTAACTATCGCAACTTCCTGTACATATCTTGTCTATAAATGTATCTAATCTAAACATTCAAATCTGTCTCAATTCAACATTTTATTCAAACAGCATTTCTACTGTTGCTTCTGGTGAAAGCAACAATACCCTTCTACTGCACGTAAATGCACTTCTCTCTGTAGAGAGAGAAATTTATGAGAACCCAGACTATGAAGCTGAACTAATGCACCTTCCTTTTTCAACCCGACTTTGCAAATGTACCAAAAGCCAGATAAAAAATTAGATAAAGGAAGAGAAAAACACTGTGACAACTACAGAACTGGGCTGACTTCTATTCTAAATGAGAGCAGACTGACACATCAGGTTTAAATAGCCCTCACAATTTTTTCTAGCAGTCCGTACTCAATACAGCCTAATTTTTTTCAGATAGAGCAATATAAGCTAGATATATATATATATATATATAATTTTTTTCTTTTTATCATCGCACTTGTTGCACTAGCTGAAGTAGAGCAGAATGAACATATCCAGCATCACCCAGACCAGAGAGGTGGCTAAAACCACCATACAGTAAGCAAACCTTTAAATGCAAAGACAGAGATTTAAAAAGCATGGAAAATAAATAGATAAAAATGTAACCATATATATATAGATATATATATATATATATGTATATATATGTGCCTTCCTCAATCGCTCACTACGTCAAGGGTTCATAACTAGCCAATTTTTGATTTGTTCTGAATGAAAATCCCGAAACATTCTTTATTTTCAGTATATTCTAGCATTTTTAAATTCTTAAAACCTTTACAGTAGTAGATAAATAGCTTTTATTTACATTTTGGCAATGAAACAAATCAGGGAAATTTTTTTATTTTTTTTTTAAGATAATCTGTAACTCAGGATGGTGCAACACCTACAAAACTCTGTAGCAATGAGAGAGAAAGATGGAAAAAAGTAGGGATGCACGATATAATCGGCCCCCTATCGGTATCGGCCTTAAAACTGAATATCGGACATCGGCCACCCCACCGATATTTAACCCGATATTTGATCAGCTTCTGAGTTTCTAAAGTCTAAAAAAAAAAAAAAATACTACTTCTTCTTCTTCCTCAAAAACTTATTTTTTACAGACTTAAAAACTTCTAAAGACGAGGGAAAAAATATTGATACATTAAAATATCACAATATCTTCATATGCTGATATATTGCCATTTAAAAACACCATATCAATCTCTTTTACTAATGAAATATTGCTATATGTCATCGTTATGCTACGAAATCCCCGAAAATTCACAAAATTTTGCCATATTTTTATATGTTGATATATTGACGCGGTATCGATCTATTTTACTAACAAAATCTCACAAGAATTTGCAAAATATCACAAGAGTTTGTAACAGAACGATGAAATTTCACGAGATTTTGAAAGTAAAATAGATCGATACCGCGTTTTTAAAAATCAATTTGATATCAGCATTTGAAAATATATTTGAGTATATTATTTTTCAAAGTGTCAGAAATGGATAACAAAACTGCTATTTTCAATGACTACTTATTTTTGTCCAGCTTTAACATCAGTATCGATATCGGTTATCGGCTACATGAGTTTTAAAATATCGGCATATCGGATATCGGCCAAAATCCCAATATCGTGCATCCCTAGAAAAAAGGTCTATGTGCCTCGTACGGAGCTAAGCTTGTGCAAAGAAGGACTCCTTTGCCAATCCAACCGGAGGAGAAGAGTTAGTCAGAGTTAAACTCACCCCACACATGTATAGAAAAAGCGTGGTATAGAAAAAGCATGTGTGGGACCTAAACGCTTTCACTGCACGCTTAGATTTGTAACTGTGCGCTCAAGTTAGTTACACAAGAAAAAACGGCATATTATATATACTAGGCAGCAGCTCTTCCAATTACTGTGCACTGCCCCACTTCTTTTACTGGTACGAAGCATCAAACAGTTACTGGGTACCTATTTTTCACCCCTGACTATGATACTGCAGTCGTGTCTCACTTTGTGCCTTTAGTAAGGGCAGGGTGCATAGGAGGGCACTTCTTTCAGGTATACACATATAATAGAAGACAAAAGCTTAAAGATAATCTATTCTAAAAATTAAACCTAACAAGCTGTTCTCCTGTATATGACTGTGCTTTGATGTAGAGGGATTTTTAAAGACTACAACTGATTATAGATTAGCACAGAGAAGAATAAAGACGAATAGTCGACTTGATTGAAGAGCTTAACAGAACTTTACGATGTTGGATTCTAACAAGGCTTTGTATACATAAGGCTTATATTCTCTTTTGAAGAGTCAACTAACATCTTTTAGTTGTTAGTCTCTGATACGAATAAAACATTAGCCTGTGTGTATTTTCTGGATGGTAAATTTATATCTGGCTCAAAGTTTCGAGCTGGGTGATAAATTAAATCATCTTTGGTGTACCCTATTTAATTCTGAATGATTTATGTTGAAACCACCCTACCTCTAGTTACTGTGAGTGACATTAACATGGCATCAGCCAAATATCAATGGAGTCCAAAATAACACAAAATAGGATGGGTCTCCATAGACTTTAGCAAAAGTGGTCATGAAGTACACACACCATAACTCTTTGTTTAAACTAGCACCTTGCAGCCTGCTTTGTTAGTCTTAAAAATGTCTTATATTTTGTAGGCTATCAACAGTTGTATAATAAACTTATGATGGCATACTCAGTTATAAACAGTTTTTTTGGTCATCTATTAAAACCCAGCTTCACTGTATCATATTTGGCCAACTATTCAATTAAAATACAAATTATATTCACCCCTTCAGTGGTACTGCTATCTGACTGTTAGCTCAAAACATTCATATGTTCTACTGCCTATCAGCCATACTAATGTCCATCAAAATTTTTATTATTATAAAGGTTAACATCCTTTTAAGCAAAGGGAACACCGACAGCTGGGTAACAGAATGATACTTTTAAGAGAACACCAAGATACCAGTGTCCCCATATAACCAGCTGTGTGAACATCTAGCCTTTGTACAGCCAGCATTTAAAATCCCTGTGAACTCAGTGCAGTCAGGCACACTCACAGGTAAGCAAACGCACTGAGCAGATAGAGTGGCTTTGATAGTAATTGCTTTCCTTAGGTGGGCAGTGAAAAGACCAGACAGCCACATTAAAATTCCACTGCTTCCCTTTTCCTCTCTCCACCAGCACCATCTTTGACTCTCTCTGACTGATTCTCTGCCTCAATGATCCTGCAAGTTGCTGTAGCACAAGCGAAGGGAAGAAAATTAACTTGGCCACAGTTATTTTTCTCATCCCTCAAGGGGGAAAAAAGTGTTTTGCATAGCTAGCTTAGCTTAGCTTAGTTAAGCTTTGCTTAGGCAGCTTGGGAGGCAGCAAAACTGCAGAGCAGCATTTCTAAACTCCAGTTGATGGGATTCAGGCAACACAAAATGGTGCACACAGCAGAAAACTACAGCAAAGCTTTACCTCCTTTGTCCAAGTTTGTTCTTTCTAAAAAGTTTGTGGCAGTGGGGGAAAGAGTTTCAGTGATATGTATGCTTTGACCAACTGGGAGGTCTGCCTCAAGGATTTGCTGGTATTTAATTAGAACTCTTCCTCCCTTCACTGAAACAAAACTAACATTTTATTAGCCCGCCTATTGACTGAGGATAAGGCATGTCAAAGTGCAGACAGAAAGACTTTTAAGGGTGGGAATACTCTGTTTTAATACACAAACTAACAAATTAAAAGGTACAATATGGTCTCACTCAATTATCAAGTAAGAAGAATCAGCTGGTTTTCAAGTCAATCTGAAAATCAGCTTATGTTCCTATTTCCCCTATTGAGAAACAATAAAAATCTCGGTAGCTAAATCAAACCATCTATAGCTAAATTAATTTACTGTACTTTTAGGTATGTCTTATTTTAGACCTGATCATCAATAATTTTTCAGTTACTGGTTTTGTCTACAGCATTATTTAAAGCATCAAATGGTCCATGATGCTACCGTTTGGTTTAGGTGCTTAGGTAACTTAAGATGCAGCAGTTTCCTTCAGTTCTCTTAACGGTGAGCACTGGAGGTTTTATTCCTATGTGATGTTATCCACAGGTGACATACTAAGAGGCTAAAAGAAAACGGCCTGATTAAAGGTTTAATAATACCCTGATCAACTAAAAGATTGGATGCAATAATAAGAGGAGCTGGTCATTATAATGAAAATAATTATCTAATAACAGCTAATCAGCAATTTAATATGTGTGCTCAAATAAATATTGTTAACAAATTAATCAGTCATAACAGGTTTTATTTTCAAACCATTTAGGGAGCCAATACTTTTTTTTCCATTTGTGTGTCAGAACACACGTTAGCTATAAACATGATGGCACCATGTTGGCATACGTGGCGTGAGATATACACTGAGATTGCTATATAGTAAGCATAGCATGTGAGCGTAGCGGAAGAAATGTGATGGAGCGAAGAGCGGTTTTCAATTCAAAGGCCGAAGTGAGGATTTCACTGCGCTCCAGTTCGCTCCACTGCGCTCTTACAACAATCAAAGTTAATGGAATAGACTTTATTTAAAATTCATAATTGACTTAAAACCTAGGCCAATGCCTATGCTGTAGTCTGTGCCTATAATCTGTTATAGTTTATCTTTCAACTTTACTACAGAATCGCCAAGACGAGGATGGTATATTGTGTGATAAAAAGTCGGATGAAATATAAAAACAAACACTAACTGTACTTAACATTACAGAGTGGGTTTTCATAAAGTGATCCTTGCGGTAAGAGCCTGTTTTTTAAAATGGATCACATACATGCATTATATGCTATCATTTGCAATGGGATGCGAAGTGACATTTTTTAATATAGTCTAGTAAAATGAATTAGTAATTAAATAGGAAACGTGGGGCAACATGAATGGAGCGAGGTGTTACGTTCACAGCTCGGAAACAGTGCG